ACACACACACACACACACACACACACACCCCAACCACACACACACACACACACACACACTTTAAGCATCAAAACAGGAGGTATAACTCTGCAAGCTACAAACTAAAAAACTTGCAATTTAGATCTAAACTGCAGATGTTCAGAGAGCTTTGTAGGTAATAGGTGTGTCCAATCTTTTTAATACAGTCATGAACCGTGGCATTTAGTTCAGCTGTGACAACAACGCAGGACCACATGCTGACAGGAACAAAGGCTCAAAGCAGGGGGGTTGTGCTTGTAAAAAAAAAAGGAAATCGCACTAGCTTTCCATAACGGTTTCACATCAAAGTTAAGGGCCTCATTTTCACAATGATTTAAAACAAACATTTTTCAGAGCTGGRGCACAGTTTAAGTTCACTCTGGAAAAGAGGTATCCAAAAACTGGAACTGTGATAAAATAAAAGACCCGAGTCAGATGTCTGACCATATAATAACACACCATGTCCTCCTGACACCCCAAAATGCAACTATATGTTATATTTTTTATCTAATTTTATTTCTCTTAAGCTAATTTCATGCATTAATATCTGAGATTAGACTATAAAGTCCCCGTTGTTTTTTTCCACAGTTGCATTTCATGCATTTACTTCACAGCTGGATCATTTTCTGCTACGTTTCCAGCAGATGGGAATTTAAGGCAGGAGATGAACACATGTGGTAGAATGTGGTGAAAAAGGTATAGAATGAAAACTGCTGAACATCAAACCTTCTGGATATTTCAACAGGAGGGATTAAATATTCAAAAACTTTGAAAGGGACTGCATTCACTTTTGACTCAATCGAGCATAAAAAGAATATTCCAAGCATAAATATAAAAATATCTTACCCACGTATGACCGCTGGGGCTCACATCTATGCTCTCCAATACCATTGCCATAGCAGTAGCACTTGTACCGGACTCCGTGTATGATGTTGTCCCAGGACTCCCCAATCTGATAGATAACCTTTGTCTGAGGTTCCTGACACTGGTCTGAATGATTAAAGAACATTCAGCAAAAATATTAGTGACATCCTACTATAAATGTTTCAAATGAAATTTTATTTGCATTTGAATTTGTCATGTTTATTAAACAAAAATCACTTGAAAAATGAACAACTTATACTTAATTCTTGCATGCACCCTTTCTACAGTAATGACATTTATTGTTACGTTCACATTTGTATTTATTTGATTGCTGCCAAAGAGCATCACTTTGGTTTTATTTAAATTTAGTGAAAGTTTATTTACACCAAACAATAATTTAGGTTCAAACATTTCAATTTTAATCAAATTCAAAAGGCAGTCCAAAGAAGGCAAAATGTGTGTATCAATTTAATAAAAACCTGTGAAACATAAATCTGTGATGTGATAAACTCACCTAAGGGATTGCAAGACCAGTAACCACGGCCCTGTCCAAAGCAGGTGCAGTTCATCATGTGTCCCATCTTGTGCTTCTTGGTGAAGGTCTGGTTAACCTCGTAGGTCACACCGTCCACGAGACAACGATCTATCGCAGGAACCCACACACAGACAGGTAAAACATGAGCAGACATAAACTATATACTTTTGAATACTGTGCGTTTTTCTAACTACTATTACAGCTGCAGTGAAGGCCAAAATAAGGGCAATTTGATCTTTTCGGAGGCGAGTAAATACATCAAACGTGAGCTTTCTTGCTTATCAAATTTTCATTTTAGTGACTAATCCTAATATTCCAGTTGTCATTTTACCTGTTGCACGTACCTTTAAGCTGTGAGTGAGCAACACAGTTCCATTCTCCTCGTCCATTACCTACGCAGGTACATCGCATCATTTCACCCAAAACATCGTGTCGTTTGTCCCACTGGTCACCTAAGCGGTACATCAGCCCTTCATTTGTTGTGCACACTTCTTCATTAGCTAGAAAACACACACACACACACAAAAAAATCAYGAACTAATGATTTTCCACTTTTTTTTCCAAATATTTGGTTGTCAACACAAGTGATGCACAAACATTTCAAATGTACARTACTTCATCCTATATTTAGCACGGAATGCACCCTTTCTAAAACACCTGTCTAAAGGAGGGAGGATTAGATTAAAAGTTAAAACCAGCTGTGTTCTTGAATGAGTCTTGGTGTGTGTTCACCATATGCTTCATGCTAATTAAAAGAGTGAGTATCAGAGAGRTGGAACGTTTACGACAAGCAGAGGCCTGCCTTTTAGGTGCACGTCTGATATGGAAAGAAAGTGCCCCTCTGGGTTTATTCCAGTTCAGGTCTTCACCTCCTCTGKATTCCATTTAAAGAAAATCGTGAACGAGTAGAAAGTACGACAAGCTCCGGAAGCCACAACAAGGTACTTGTTGTTAAAAAAAAAAAAACCCACCAAACCCTCCTGTGTAAAAAAAAAACAGTTTCGCTGCTTGGAGGTGAAAACAAACAAAAATAAATTGTATGAAGGTGTGGACAAACTGCTGTCTTAATCAGGGTTTTTTAGAGAACATGAGCTTTTATAGCCTCATGAAGCATTTATAAATTAAAGCCCTGGAGAAAGTAAAAGACATTTCAGATTTGGTTTGGTAACTTAATGCCAGGGCTAGAAGAAAAAAGCAAATATGGGCTGGAAGGAAATGTTATATGATACTCGGGTATCTTAGCAATGGTTTGCTTATAGCTAAAAAAAACACGGTCTTTAAAAAACTGGAAACAGGAAAAGTACAATTTAATATAAAAGCAATGTAAAAATCCTCTTAACATTTTGTGTGTTACCTATAAAAATATATACTTTTACGTTTAATGAACAAATAAAATGTTATTATTTGTAAGTACAAGTTTGTATCTCAAGAAAACCCRTTTTTCCTTGTAATTTTCTGTGTCTTCAGTGCCGCTGACCAGATGTCGTTGCACAAGTATTACACTTTGTTTTTGCTAGATGCACTTTTAACCTTCCTTTCTGTCTAAAAATGGAAAACACTGATGCACTTTTTAAATTTCACTCCAGACACAAAGTTTAAAACTTTCAAATATGTGAAAAGCTTACAACTCAGATCAGAATGCATTAAAAAATATTTGAAGAGCCCACACAGCATCTGCATGTCCCGTTTATGTCAGCACATACCTAAGGTAATTCAATCACCCCTTTAAACAGACTAACCTTTACTGYTAAGACTGTTTACACAACCAGGGAATCTATTGTTTTGTGGAACACTGCTGACTCCAGAGCCTCACTGGCTTCTACACTTGTGTTAGATAAACAGCTCTTTAATGCAAAACAGGTTTAATCCTAAGTGAGAAACTTATGTTGAACCAAAGGGATTTCTCAAAACTTCCGCTTTGTTTATCAGACTACAGCAAATCTATTTGCGTGAGTCCTAAATGTTGAGTTACACCTGGGGACAGCTGTGTGACCATCCTGGATGGTAAATGACAAACAGCAGTTCGGTTAGGAACCTTTGAAGAAGATTGTCAGAGGAGGAGGAGGAGATAACAGTAGCTCCAGGCCTGATTAAACATCACCATTAACATCTCAACGTTCTGGGTGATGCCTGTGAAGTAGTTAATGCCAATGTAGAGACAATCAGCTCTTTTCACCACAGGACAGAGTTAACCTCATGCAAACGGCTCTGTTTATACACCTTGACAATGACCAAGGTGTTTAAACAACCCACCTCCAAAAGAAAAGGGTTAAAACTTGACACAATAGTGTTTACAACTGAATGTCAAAAAAAGGTGGTCTCAGCGAAGTAAGCTTTTCAAAGTAAAAAAAAGTAATGATAATACTTCAAGATGCATCCTTTTTCTGATGATTTTTTGCCTCTTGGTTTGTGTTATCTTGTCCTACCCAGTGTCGTAGCAAATGGAAAATTCAGGATTTTAAGGATGAATAATGATGTGAAACCACAGTCTCAGGCTCAAGAKTAAAAGGTTTGTATTTGCCTGTTTCTAGATGGCAGTAAAGTAAAAAAATAAAAAATAAATTTAAAAAAATACTTCTTCTCATGTTAACATAAAAACTTGAACCCTGGATGTGTCCCAGATTAAGCCTTGCAGGCTGATCTGTTTGGCTACATTTTACTCCATTGTTATTCCACATATGATCACATTAATTTAAAACCAATTGAATTGTGTATAATCCAAACACTTCAAACTATATTTATATATAAATGAATTTCCCTCATTTAAAAAAGATCAAATACAGTGTCAAGTCATGATAACATTTCAGTCCATTTCCCACAAAATACTGGTGAACTTTGCAGGAAATGCCGAAAACCATAGAGWTGCAAGTTTAACTGGGTCTGTGATATCAGCCCTGATTTATTTATATGATTCTGATAAAACGGTGATTGAAATTTCAAAATATCAGCAGGGCCACTGCACTCAGCAGTGATTATATTGTTAAATAACATTAGAAATTATCTTTAGTCAGCTTCCTTTAAAGTTCAAATGAAAAATAAAAAAATGGCAAAAACAACAAAACGTAAAAATGAAGCCACTTTACTATCACACGATCCTTACCAGTCATGGGGCAGAACCCATAAAGTTGGTCGACATCATAGTTTGCCGTGGTTCCGCACCACTTCATGCCGTCCCTCCTTCCATCTGGAGTACAGTCTGTGTAGTTTCGGCCGTTGAACAGGAATGGGAACTCACACAAAGCACCRTTGGAATTACCGCCTCGTGTTTCCACAACCACTGTTGAAACAAGAGTAACCATAAATTTCAGCACCTTTTTTTGAGTAATTATTCCCAGTTTAACCCCTTAACAGTCCACCCACTTTGGATGTTATCATCCATTAAATGGACATTATTAGCCATTATCAGTCCCACAGAATGGCTTCAGATTTTCAGCTGGTTAGTATAAGGCATAAAGCCACTAAGGTTAATTTTAGAGAAAATGACATGGGCTACGATAAAGTTGACTGGACTCCAGTGGTAGCAGATTGTTGCATTCCAACATATATGGCACTGGTAACCCACTAGGGGGCACTGTCGGGACAGTCTGAAGCCATTCAATGGGACTGATAACTGCTAATAACATCCATTTAATGGACTGATAACATTYGAACCGGCTGAACAGTCATTGTTCCACCAGTGGGCAAATAACAGTGCAGTTATTGCCTTTAAACATATTCTAACGTTTCCAAACGCTACCGGGGATTTAAAAAAAGGTTATCAGATGACTTCTTCTGATTTGTACCAGAGCTTGATATCCTTACAAATCCCCAAAAAAATGTCAAAAGCTTTTAAGGAATTTCAGGGGCAACTCCTGAATACTTGTGTTTAGTCTTATCTACTGTATGTCCAAGGCACCTGGTTGGATTTGTAAATCTTCTTTTCTTGCTACTAACGATTATGCTGTTCAAGACCTTGTTATACCCCCACCCACTAAATATACTCTGCAGTATATTTAACCAWATTTAGGCATATTTTCCAAATCAGTTAACAAAAACAAGCAATGCTAGTTTTCCATTCACCAACATTTCAAAGGTTTTTCAGCTCATTTTGCAGCTACCTTAAATCTCCACTTTAAAATGACGTTCCAAATGAAAAACAGTCAAAAGCATCAGAGGCAACATGTGTGGATGGTATTTAGCATCCTCCACTGAAAGTTGYTCTTCATCTGTGCCCATCTGTGTCAAATTTCTTTCTAAATTTACAGCTTCAGTATGCCTGCCAACATTACCATTTTTCTCTGTGCAGAAAGAATATTTCTGGTCTTTATCAAAATCWGATGAGGTGGAACACCACAGCCGTCCATCACTGCGTCCATCTGAGGTGCAGGAGTGGTAGGTCTTTCCCTTGTGGACAAAAGGGAACACACAGGGAAGGCCTTCAGAGTTCCCACCGTACACTGGGGCTGGTCCATCTGCATGAAACCACAAAAATRACAATCATTTTATCTTCAAATGCATTTTACTTTATCTTTAGTCTAATTAACCCTCCTGCTGCCCATTGGATCAAAAGAAGAACATCTCTCACCCCACTGATCACAGCTGACTCCGTTGCCAAGGCAGGTACAGACCATCTTTTCRTTTCCCTGTTTCTTGATCCAGCGCTGCCGATTGAAGTACGTCAGCCCTGTATCAGTCTTACAGGTTAACTCCTCAGGAAACTCRGGAACAGTGAGAGGGTGGAAGACAGCAGGATGGATGTTGCTTAACACATTGGGTCCGGTGCCTGAAACAGAAGACAATCAGATGTCTTATCACAACTGTTAAGGCTGCGATCAGCAAATACTTGCCTGAAACACAAACACTAGAGGCAGACACTATAACTGAATAGTTCACAGAAATCTTTCAAATCTGGAAACAAGCACCAAAATTGGCACAAATACTCTTTGGGATAACACTTTTGAAAAAAACAAAAAACATTAGCCACTTAAAATTTTAAGATGGCCACATTTTTTMAAGATGGCCACCATTTCTGCTATCAAAAATCCCTTTTTTGTAATAAGATTGAAGATATTTGTCCTACATTATTGATTTGGGTGTTAAATCATACATTTTTGACCATGTAGAAGCTGAATTTAGAACTCTGGAATTACTCAGAAGCTTTCTTGTACCATATCTCAGCGATACAATAAAAATACTATGAAAAAATAGAGGTTTAAGTCAACTAAACTCCATTTCGGTGGTAGCGTTTTTTTTTTTTCATTTATTCATTTATCTAAAAAACAACAAATTCTATACATAATAAAAAAAGGTAGCAGAAGAAGGAAAAAATCTTATGATATCTGCCCCTTTTCTCAACTAAACAAATTCAATCAAAAATAATCTTCAAATACCAAACATAAAGCAAAACAAAAAATAAATAAAAATAAAAATAAACCAAAAAGCGAACCAATAAAGGTTTAACTTCTTCTTCAGCAACATATCTTATATTTCTCCAACATATTTACCTTTATAATTCTCTTAAATAGACACACTGATCTGGCATTTTTAACGTCATCCTCTACATCCTACTAACTAGCGTTAGACGTGCATAGTGCAGTAAAAGAGAAGGCAAACAAAAAATGTGTGACCAACATATTTCAATATAGTAAAGTGATATTTGAGGAGCTAGTATTAATCTTAGTGTTTTTTTCTTTCCTTAAGATGCAGAAGCTAAAATGAATTGAGGGTATTTTAACAAAGTGCAGAATTAGAGAAATTGTGCAATGTTTTACATTAATGCATGTAAAATAGTCCAATAGATCTTATAAATAAACATAAAAACATGTATTTGTAGTTGCAAATACATGCAGTTGCAGTAAAATTGAAAGTGTTACAATGGTTTTAGCTCCACTGACTCCACTCCATTTATACTTCTAACAAAATAGTAATAAATGATAAAAAAAATGCTGCTTCTGCTTTTTACTGACCGAGCACATTTTCTGTCACACCCCATAATCACTTTAATCACTGCACATTTTTCCTCACTAATGCTTTCATGTGCACTTCTCCCATAACACCACCCCCTGTTCCCACACACCGCGTCCGTCTCCCTATCCCACGGGGTCATGAGCGCAGACCACAAGACGTGTTTTTCTCACTTCATCACTCGGACACTTTTTATCYCCACGTCCTCATAACATCTGTCTTTGGTGTACATTCTTCTTGATACAGAGAGTGAGAGTGGAAAGGGAAACGACATGGATTTTGTCAGTTCTCACCCAGGCCGGTGGCGTGAAGAGATATTTTTCGATCGCATTTCCACTCCCCTCGGCCGTTCCCCACGCACAGACACTGGAGCAAGTGGCCTTGCGCATCCGTCTTGGACCACGTGTCACCAATTCGATATGCGGTCATGGTATCCTTGTCATTACAGTAATCTAAACAGAGTGGAAAAAAATGAAATTAAAGGAAACGTTAAGCCTCCAACTGTTGTACATCTTAGGGACACAAATATGGCGACGACTTAAAAGTCAGGATTCATCTGGAAATGTTTGCAGAWACTCGGTGGGGAGAGAACCCTGCTGGCCACCAGCTGTTTCTGTGTTTGAATCTGAAAGTGTTGCTTATAACTTGTGTGCATGGAGGAATTTTAGGATGACCTCCAGTAAACAACCCCCCCGCCCCTTGCATGCAACAAGTTAATGAGCAACAACTTAATCATTATCCGATGCATCAAAGAACATAGACGAGGACACACGTCATGGTTTAAATTACATTAACAGATGGTAAATATTTACAACACAGTTTGTTGAAAAACTTCAATTATCACAGCTAAAATGTGAGCAAAACGCATGAGTCACAGTTACAAGATGATGAACATCATGTGTCTGCTTTAACAGATACTAAAAGTGAAACTGGATCAGTTCTAAAGTGCAAATGCAGCTTTTCCAACATGCAACAATTATTTGTTCATAAATCCAAAGTAACGTTTGACAAACTTCAAAGGATAAATAAATAGATGCAATGAGTGATCAATAAAATCTTACTTTTTGAAGTGCATTTGATGCTTCCAGTCCCCTCTCCTCGACAGGTGCACTCCACAATCATCCACCCCTCATATTTCCTCTCCCACGTCTCCCCAACTTTATAAGATGCGCCAAGCGAGTTATCATAGCAGCTCTCAGCTGCAACACACAAAACACCCATACATTAACACTCAGTTACAAAAAATGCTTAGCATAGGTGGCTGATAGAAAAAAAAGGTACAATTAGATCTTTTTTGGCCACAAATGTGTAAATTTATGACTTTAATTCATCAATCAAGTGTGATTGCCTCACCAATGGGTTTGCAGGTCCATTCTCCTTTGCCATTTCCCAGGCAGACACACTCCAACATGGAGTCTCCCGCTTCATTTGGTCTCCTCCAGGTGTCTCCAATCTTATGTGAAACTCCACCATCATGGCAGCGATCTGATAGGGAAAATACGTAAGAGACTTTCTGCATGTGTAAAGAAAACAGCAAAATAATTCTAATAAGTCAGACATTTTTYATTATTATCCAGCTAACTCCAATTTAACTGCTCGGCTTCAAATGTTAAAGTGGAGGGGATTCGGACATTAAATACAAACAGTCAAGGAAAAAAAAAAAGAAGAAGCTCAATCCAGGATATGTGGTCTGAGGTTAGAGCAGAAACAGCGAGGGGTAGCCCCCTCCAAACAGGGAAGGTGTGTGTGTGTGAAACCACAGGCAGAAACAGAGTCCACACATACTGGCRATGGTGCAACTAATTTTGCTCCTCCCAGATCCAAGACACGTGCAGTCCCACATCATGCCTTCCCTGAAGCTCTCAAAAGTTTCTCCCACGGCGTAGGACTTCAGACTGGATTCATCATAGCATCGTTCCTCCTCTGCAGGGATGACAAAGAATTTATTTATAGATATGTTGGGTTAACATCAAAGTGCCTGTGGCATTCATATTCAAATGCAAAAAGTCAGAAAACAATAATACACGCGATTTTACCCAYAACTGGCATATTTTCTTTTGAACTSGGCTCAGCCTAAGTAAAACAGGAAGTGACATCAAAGGGGAATTGTTTTACAAAGAAAACTCACTGGTCTTTGTTTATTGAAATAATATAATTTGCASTCTGACTCTTCTTCAYCTCTCTCTGATAATGACTCAAAATAATCTTAAGAAAAATCAGATTGTTCTCTACAGTCTGCCGTTGTAGCTCTGCTCGGTTCACATTCATGCATTCCCCTTTGACATCACTTCCTGTTTCTTCRCRTGCAAATATCTCMRCAACTGTTCATCTCAGTGACRTTAAATCTTGTTTTGCAATATTTTATCARTGTCATCTTTCAAAAAATGCAATCATAYGTATTACAAAAATTTTTGACGTCACAGGCACTTTAAAATGTGATGCAAGCAARGGGTTTGGGGAAAATAAGAGCACACAAACTAACCATCTGGCTTGCTTTTACACTTGATCCCAGCAACTCCATGGCAGGTACAGATCAACGTTTTGCCCCAAAATGGCCGCTCCCACTGTTCGTTAACRTTATAGAAGTAGCCATGCTCTACACAACCATCTGAGCAGAGCAAATGAAGACAGATGAGAGAAAACAGAACAGCTAATTAAACACTGTAAAAAAAACAGAGGGCGGGTTCACATCAGAAAGAAAGTGATTTAAGCTTCTTACATTGATTTTTACTGCAGATTAAACAGCAAACAAAACACTGAAATATTTAAAACCTTATTTAAACATTCTTTTGAACTTTACCCATGCTTGTTAAATTAACTTCAGTGGGGGTGGGATGCCTTCAGAAGATCCAACTGTCATAAATCATTTGCACAGGCTGGATTGCCCACCCCCACCCCCAACTAAGCACATATTTATTTATTTTTATTTTTGTTACAAGTCCCTGATTCCCACCCCGACCATAACATCTGTATTTCCCTTTCATCAGCTTCCATTACCAGAATCAAATGAATGAATTAGAAGGAGCCTGCTGGGGTCTTATCTGGATCTTGTGACCCAAAGCAGAGACTCATGTCATCACTGAGTTGATAAAATTACATGCACATTATTTTTTATTTAAATGTATGATTCCCATCTGTGTCATAAATATTTACATTAAAAAAATAATTGTTACCTTGAGAGACTGAAGAAGCGTGATATTGCTGCGCCTGTCTCCGGTTCTTGTGCGTCCCTTGGGGCACGCAGTTCACCGCGCTGCCGATCCACAGAGCGACCAGCACCCCGGCTATGGTGGTGCTGTGACCAGACATTTTTTTAAAAAAAAAAAACAAAAAACAAAGGAAGAAAGGGAAAAAGGAACCTCTCCGATGCTGCAGAGCGCGGTCCCAGGTATTTTATTTTTTAATTTAATGAAGYTGTGTTCAGATTTCACCGGAGAGAGAGGTGGTCTCCTGCGCGCGTCTCCTTCCTGCAGCTCTGCAACCTCCTCCTTCAGCCTGCGGCCCCTGAGTGCAGGTCTCCCCCCGCCTCCTCTCCGTGCTGGGAGTGATTTATCTGGGCATGGCTCGCTTTCAGACAGAGGGAGGTCCAACAGTGAGAAGTGACTACCCACGCAGCGTGGAAGTGAAGCAGGCAGGATTRCCAAACAAACGCGTCTATTTCTAAAAATAAAGACAATATATGGATTAGAATGATAATTATTCTAAATATTGGTTTAATTTTTATTGTATTTACATCACAACTAAACTATCATAACT